CCCAGCATCCTTAACTACCTACCATGCCACCTGCAGGCCTCAAATGTCCCATGACTGTTACGACCCACCCGCTCCCCGGGTCGTAACAGTCATGGGACATTTGAGGCAGCGGTCATGGGAACATAATGTCCCTCAAGGCCACACGTCCTCAGGGTTCCAAGAGCGACAGTACTACTTCCTGCGCACCACTCGAGGGAAAAGACACGCTGGCTGGGGTTAAGATGGCTTAGTGGTGGCTGGTGGGTAAGGTAGCTAAGTCCCCAGCAGTTGGCATAATGGTTATGTTGCTGGACTCCTATGTAGTCGACTGCGGTTCAAGGCCTGGACCCGGAGGCTTAAATTCATGCTGGGCATGTGTGCCCAAGATCCCGAGAGAATGGAGGAGAAGGGACTGCAGTGTGGCCATCCACCCGGGAGGATGATTTCTCACTTTCTGTCTCTCTGTCTTTCTATAGCAAAAACCTCTCAAAAAAAAAAGAAAAAAAAAAAGATGGTGGGACCAGCAGTTAACGTAATGGCTATGTCGCTGGACTCCCATGTAGTAGACTGTGGTTCAAGTCCTGGACCTGGCGGCTTAAACTCACGCTGGGCGCATGTGCGTGGGTGCCCAAGATCCGGAAAGGAGAATGGAGGAGAAGGGATTGTGGCATGGCCATCCCCCCTGGGGCGTGATTTCTCGCTTTCTGTCTCTCTCTCTTTCTCTGTCTTTCTGGCTAGCGCACATGCCCTATAGCAAAAACCTCTCCAAAAAAGGGGGGGAAAAAAAAAGGCTAGGTCTCACAGAGCCAACTGCGCAGTTTGAGACCCAGATAGCAGCGGGAAAATCACGCCAGGCATGCATGCTCAAAATCCTGAGAGGAGAATGGAGAAGGAACTGTGATGTGACCTGATCATCAAACTGGGGGGTATTTCTTCACTTCCCCTTTCTCTCTCATTCTGTCTGTCTCTGGCAAGCACAAGCACGTGTAGCAAATTAAAAGAGAACAAAACGAGAACATATAAGAAAACAATGTACAGAGGCCAGCGAGTGGCATAGTGGTTACGTCATTAGACTCCCACATGGCTGACAGTGGTTCAAGTACCAGACCTGGTGGCTTAAAATCACTCCGGGCGGGTGTGTATGTGTGCCTACATGCCCAAGATCTCAGGAGGAGAATGGAGAAGGGACCACAGCATAACCATACCCGCAGAGGGGTGATTTCTCTCTTTCTCTCTTACTGCCCAAGTCCCCCTGTGCACAGGCCCTAGGGCAAAAACCTCTTAAAGAAAGAAAACAAAATACAGATTAAGAAGTATGCTTAGGCGCCAGCAGGCGTGGTGGTTGAGGGTGCTGGGCTCCCACATGGATAACCATGGTTTGAATTCCAGACCTGGTGGCTTGCTTTCTCACTTTCTCTCTCTCTCTCTCACACACACACACACTCTGTCCCTCTCTGGTCAAATTAAAATAAATGAACAAATAAAGTTAAATGAAATAATTATCTCTAAAAAAAAATACATATATATATCTGTGTGTGTGTGTGTGTGTCTGTGTGTGTGTGTGTGTGTGTGTGTATAGTTAGAGGGGCCAGCAGATGACATAATGGTTATGTCACTGGACTCCCATGTGGTGGTCACTGGCCTCCCATGTTGTTGACAGCGGTTTGAGTCTGAGACTCAGTGGCTTAAAACTCATGCCAGGTGCATATGTGTGCGTGCCCAAAATCCTAACAGGAGAATGGAGGAGAAGGGATTGCAGCATGGTCATTCCCCACCGGGGGGTGATTTCTCGCTTTCTGTTTCTGGCAAGCACCTGTGCCCTATAGTAAAAATCTCTCTTAAAAAAAAAAAAAAAAAGAAAAAGAAAAACAAAAAGATGCTTAGCTATGTCAGCACATATACACACCAAAACCCTACACGGACAGGCGCTAAAACCACACTGGCAGTTATCTCTGAACAATGGATGATTTTACACGCTCTTTACTGCATTCTTACCGTATTTTTCAGATTTCCTACAATGAATTTTTAGAGTAAAACAAAAATTATCAAACAGTCAAAGATAGTTGGCAAGTCACCTGGCACCTGGAGACATGAAGGCAGGTGCCATGCCATCCCTGCGTCAGTGTGTGAGGCAGGGACACTGCGCCCCAGGCTCAGACCAGCCCCCCTCTGTGAGCAGCGCTGGCACCATGCAGGTACCTGGATCGTGAGGGTGCCTTTCTCCGCATCGGTCTGCAAGTGGATCTCCATTTCGGGCAGCGCTTGGCCAGCAACCGCCAGTGTGTGACGCAGCTTCTCCAAGGCATCGCTGGCGTTGGAGATCAGCTCCCGAATGAACACCTACAGGAATGGGACGAGGAAGGGAGGATGGCTGACACGAGCGCTGCGGGGCCATGTGAGCTGCCTTTGCAGCGACAAGCCAGGAGTGTCACAGAATACTCAGGTCTCTAACCATAAGACTTTCCACTGCAGTCAAAGGTGCAGGTCCTCTGGCTGGTCACAAGGTCACAAAATCATGAAAGGGGGCTAGATTCCCGAGACAGCTTTATGTAGTAAACTGACTCCTATGTACACGTATACACGCATGTAAGAGACAGAAAGTGGGAGAGAGAGACAGGTACTCCTGGGTTCACTGTGTCACAAGTCTCCTCTCCAGCTTCCTAACTAGCTAGGATTACGGGTGTGTGCGACTGTACCTGGCTTGCCCAGGTTGGCCCAGGGACCAAACCTACACCCGGGACAGCTTCCGGCCTTCCAAGTACCCCTGCAGTACTTCTGGGTCCTGCCGTTCTCTCTTTTCAGGAACCTCAGTCAGGTCTGAGCGTTTCTGTCTGTCTGTCAACTCACACTTTAAGAACCTTGTGATGGGAACCAGCAGTTAGCATAGTGGCTATGTCACTGGATTCCCACGTAGTCAACAGCGGTTCATGTCCTGGACCCGGTGGCTTAGAACGCATGCCGGGCGTGTGTGCGTGTGTGCCCAAGATCCCGAGAGGAGGGGAACTAGCAGTTAGCGTAATGGCTATGTCGCTGGACTCCCACGTAGTCGACCGCGGTTCGCGTCTCGGACCCGGTGGCTTAAATCTCACGCCGGGCGCGTGTGCGTGTGTGCCCAAGATCCCGAGAGGAAAATGGAGGAGAAGGGATTGCGGCGTGACCATCCCCCCTGGGGGGTGATTTCTCGCTTTCTG